AATATAAAGACATAGGAGGGGGGAGGGGTAAATTGGGAGATTGGGACTGACATATACACACTACTATATATAAAACGGGTAACTAATAAGAACCTGCTCTGGGCTTCCCTGGTGGCACAGTGGTTGAGAATCTGCCTGCTAATGCAGGGGACACGGGTTTGAGCCCTGGTCTGGGAAGATCACACATGCCGCGGAGCAGCTAGGCCCGCAAGCCACAACTACTGAGACTGCGCGTCTGGAGCCTGTGCTCCGCAACAAGAGAGACCGAGATAGTGAGAGGCCCGCGCACCGCGATGAAGAGTGGCCCCCGCTTGCCACAACTAGAGAAATCCCTCGCACAGAAATGAAGACCCAACACAGCCAAAAATAAATAAATAAACAAACGTGGGGTTTAAAAAAAAAAGAAAAAGAAAGAAAAAAGAATATTATTAGAAAAAAGAAAAAAAGAACCTGCTCTATAGCACAGGGAACTCTACTCAATACTCTGTAATGCCCTATATGGGAAAAGATTTGATATACGTATATGTATAACTGATTCACTTTGCTGTACACCTGAAACTAACACAACACTGTAAATCAACTATACTCCAATAAAAATATTTTTTAAAAAGACATAGGAGGTTAAAAGCAAAAGGATGGAGGAAGATATCCCATATCTTATCCCATATCTTATCCCATACGCTAACCCATCAGAACAGAGAGCTGGAGTGGCTGTTAGTGTCAGAAAAGTAGAATTCAAGGCAAAGAATCTGGGGATAAGGAGGCTCTTTTCATAATGATAAAGTGGTTGATTAATCAAGAGGACATACTAATTTGAATATAAGCCTTCAAAATGCGTGAAACAAAAAATGATAGAACTGCAAGGAGTAACAGACAGATCTCAGGAACCTCAACACACCTCTGTCGATAATTAAGAAGCAAGTAGATGGAAAATCAGTAATCATACCGTCAGCAGACTTGACTTCACCAATATTTATAGAATATTCCTCTGAGCAATAGAACACATATTTAAGTACACACATAACAATTTTTAACATGGGCCATATTCTGGTCCTTAAAATGAGTCTAAATAAGTTTAAAAGGATCTGATGCATACAGTGTATGTTCTCTAACAACAATGGATCTAAATTAATAATCAAATGCAGAATAATCTCTGCAAAATCCTCAAATATCTGGAAATGAAATAACGTACTTCCAAACCCATGGGTCAAAAAGAAATCAAAAGGTGTATTTGCAAATATTTCAAACTTAATGAATATGAAAATACAACATAGAGTTTTTGGGACACAGCTAGAGCAAGACTTGGAAATTTATACGCCTACGCAGGCATAACTTGTCTTATTGTGCTTTGCTCTATTGCACTTGGCAGATATTGTGTCTTTTACAAATTGAAGGTTTGTGGCAACCCTGAGTCGAGCAAGTCTATTGGCACCATTTTTTCCAACAGCATTTGTTCACTTCGTATCTCTCTGTAACGTTTTGGTAATTCTTTTGATATTTCAAACTTTTTCATTGTTATTACATCTGTTACGGTGATCAGCGATCAGTAATCTTTGGTGCTACTACTAGACGATGGTTAACGTTTTTTTTTAGCAATAAAACATTTTAAAATTAAGTTATATAAATTTTTTTAGACATAATGCTATTGCACACTTCATAGACTACAGTATAGTGTAAACATAAGTTTTATATGTACTGGGAAACCAAAAATTTAAGCGACTCATTTTATCTTGATATTCACTTTATTGCAGTAGTCTGGACCTGAACCTGCAATATCTCCAAGATATGCCTATACTAGAGAATAAGAAAGGTCTCAAATCAGTGAGCTCATCTTCCTCCTTAAGATACTAGAAAAAGAAAAGAAAATTAATGTAAGTAAAAGATTAGAGTAGAAGTCAATGGAAAAAAATAGAGAAATCTATGAAACTAAGAACTGGTTCTTTGAGATTATCAATAAAATTGACACACTTCCATACTGACTGGTCAGTAAAAGGAAAGAGAGAAGACACAAAGCACCAACATCAGGAATGAAAGAGGTGACATCACTTCATACTCTATATTGAAAGGATGAACAATTTTATGCTGATAAATTCAACAGATTTGATGAAATGGGCAATTCCTTGAGAGATGCAAGCTATAACATTCAGTCAAAGAAAAAAATAACCTCAGCAACTCTGTATCTATTAAATAATTCCACAGGATGTAAAAATAATGATACATCATGAGCCAGTGAGATTTATTTCAAGGACACAAGGTTGATTTAACACTTGAAAGTCAATCAGTATAATCCGTCATATTAATAGACTAATAAAAATATTCTTCATAGATGTAGAAAAAAAGTTTGACAAAATCCAACATCCAGTCCTGTTAAAAACTCTCAGCAAACTAGTAATCGAAGGAAGCTTTCTTATACTGATAAGGACAGCTACAAAACCCTACAGTCAACATTATTCTTAATGTGAAAGACTGAATGTTTCCCCTTAAGGTCAAGAGGAACAAGGTTATCTGCTGTCACTCCTCCTATTCGGTATTGAACTAGGGCTCTAGCCAGCACAGTTAGGTATGAAAATGAAGTAAAAGACATTCAGACTGGAAGAAAGCAGTAACACTCTTTTTATTTGCAGATAACGTGATTGTATATGTAGAAAATCCTAAGGCTTCTATTAAAAAGTTACTAGAACTAATAAGTGAGTTTAGCAAAGTTCAGATCAGTCTATAAAAATCTATTTTATTTCTATATATTAGCATTTAACAAAGATAAATTGAACTTAAAATACCATTTACAATAGCATTAAAAAATCAGAGATAAATCTGACAAAAGATGTGTGAGATCTGTAAACCAAAAACTACAGAACACAAATGAAAGAAATAAAAGAAGCTCTAAATAAATGAGAAGATATACCATGTTCATGGATTGGAATACTCAATATTGTCAAGATGTTAATTCTCTTAAACTGATCTGTAGATTCAATGCAATCCCACACAAAACCCCACTAGGCTTTTTTGTTTTTGTTTTTAATTTTTGGCTGCACCCCGAGGCATGTGGGATCTTAGCTCCTCGACCAGGTATTGAACCCACACACCCTGCATTGGAAGGCATAGTCTTAAACATTGGACTGCTGGGGAAGTCCCCACTAAGCTTTTTGGGTAGAAGTTGTCAAGCTGATTCTAAAATTCATGAGGAAATACAAAGAATCTTGGATGACCAGAAGAACTTTATAGAAAAACAAAGTTGGAAGAATCGTACCTCACACTGTACACCAAAACTAACTCAAAATGGATAATAGACCCAAATGCAAAATATAAGTGCAATATGTAAGATTTCTTACATATGACACCAGAAGAATGATCCATAAAATATAAAACACTGATAAATTGGACTTCATCAAAATTAAAAATTTCTCTTTGAAAAACTTTAAAGAGAATGAAAAGACAATCCACAGAATCAGAGAAAGTATATACATATCACATATCTGGTACAAATCACAAGGAATTCTCAAAACTCAAAATAAGAAAACAACTCAATTAAAAGGGGTAAAAGATTTGAACAGAACACTTCCTTAAAGATAGACAGCAAATAAACAGATGAAAAGACACTTAAGTCATGAGTGAAGTACAAATTAAAACCACAATGAGATATACCCTTACACACCTATTAGCATATGTAAAATTAAAAAGAGTGACCATACCAAGTGCTGGTGAAGGTGTGCAGCATACGCAGCACAGGAATGTAAAATCGTACAGTCACTTGGGCAGTTTCTTAGAAGTTAAAAGTAAGCTACTGTATGATCCAGTCATTCCACTCCTAGATATTTACCTAAGAGAAATGAGTATTTCTCCAAACAAAGATTGTACACAATTTTCATATCAGCTCTCTTTGTAATAGCCAACAACTGGAAACAACCCAAATCTCCATGAGCAGGTGAGTGGATATACAAATGGTGGAACATTCCTGCAATGTCTCATTACTCAGCCCCAGAAGGAATAACCATTGATAAACGCATCAGCACCTGGTGAACCAAAATGAATTATGCTGAGTGAGAGAAGCTAGACAAAACGTACACATCCACGATTCCATTTATATAAATTACAGGAAATGCAAACTGATCTAGTGATAGAGCGGATGAGTGCTTGCCTGGTGATGGGGATCAGAGGGGATGGATTGCAAACGGGAAACTCTGGGGTATTTACTATCAATACTTTGAGGTGGTGATGGTTTCACGGGTGTATACAAATGTCAAAATGTATCAAATTTGAATATGTGGTTTACTGTATATCAATTACACCACAGTAAAGCTGTTATAAAAACCCTAAGGATGGCTCAATCCCCACGTTGCCTACGCGCCTTGGACGCCCATGCATGGACCCTAAGACGCGAGGTGGAGGAGTGGGGGTGGGGATATGGGGGGTGGGCAGGAAGAGACCCAGGTGGGCGGAGACCTAACTCCATTAACGCTTTGGCAGCCACTGGCACCATACCTGAGACAGACGCTCTGGGGCTTCGCGCTGACCCGAGGGTCTCCAACTTCCCCGCCCCCGCCCCCGCCTCCCACATCCTGGAGCCAGAGCCAGGGGTGGGGCTGGACACGGGCAGGGGCGGGGCTTGGGGGGGGTCCCCCCACGACCCCGCCCACAGCTCAGGAGACACACTCCTGTCTAAAATCCTGATCCCAGGCCCGACTCACGCCTTCCCACAAGCTAGGCTCCCAGGCCCCGCCCCGTGTAGCCTCTACGGCCCCGCCCAAGGCCACACCCTTCGTCCTCAGGACCCCCTCCCCCCATCGTCCAGGCCCCGCCCCACTCAAGACTCCGGCCAGACCTCGCCCTGGCCCCACGGCCCATCTTTAGGCTCCGCGATGTCCTGGCCGCGTCCTGCCACACAAGCTCCGCCCATGCCCCGCCCCTAATTCTCAGGTCCTGCTGTCGTTCAGGCCCCGCCCCGCTCCGGACTCCGCCCCGCCCCACAGCTCCGCCCCAGACTCCGCCCAGGCCCCGCCCCGGGAGCGCAGGCCGAGCCGCGTGTGTACCCAGCGGCCGCGGACTTGGGCGTAGGCCTTCGGGTCGCCGCCGCCCTCCAGGCGTGGCGCCGGCTCGGACTCCAAGCGGCAGAGAGCCTCATGCACAGCAGCCTCCGGACGCGGCCGCGCAGGTAAAGCTCCCGTCTCATCCCGGAGCGTGGACACCCCCGCCCCCGTCCATCCCCCAGCCGGGAGTTCCGGGGGTCCTTAGGGTCCGGAGCCTGGGGATCCCGAGGTCCGAGGTCTGGGGTCCCCCCGGGGCCCGAGCCCCGCCCGCCCAGGCCCCGCGCGGCCCCGCCACTCCACGCCCAGCGCGGGCCGCGCGCCCAGGGCTTGGCTTTTCTCTTTTCTCGTTTCCCTTTTTCAAACATAATTGAAATAAAAGGCGCCGACCGCGATGCCGGTGCGGGTGGCTGTTCCCATTAGGGCCGACAGAGAAGAGCTTTAATGTTATAATTGTCAAAGGGATTGTCACAATTAGCAAAGCGCTGAGCTTCTGACAGCAGCCTAGCCCCGCGGGGATGAGGGTGCCGGCTGGGCTCCCAGCGGTGGCCGGCGGTCGCCCTTGCATTCCAGTTTCTTATGAAAACCCTGCAGCCCAGTCTTCCTGCTTTCCAGCCCTGAGTAGCTAGGAGGGGTGGACTCCCATCACCCCGTGCTGTCCAAGCCCCTGACCCCCAAGGTGTGCAGTGGGTGTGTCCAGGGCAGGGTGGCAGTGTTCTCGGTCGGCTTTGCTGGGCACAACCCCCAGCCAGCAGTCAGCACAGCCTTACTCTTCTGGGTGGCAGTGAGAATATCCAGGAGTAAGTCACAGAGACCCCCCCCCCGGTCAAGTGTGTCCGTTTGGCTGTGATATCTCCCCCAAAGTCAAAGTGTGCCCCCGGGTCCCCAGCCAGGCCACCGCCGGCGACGCTGACTGCTCCTCTCTTTTAGGACCGAAAGAGAACACCGTTCTTCCTGGCACGTGAGGAAGCAGAGTTTCTGTCTGTGTGGGATGGTCCCTTCCGCACCGGTACCGGGGAGCGGGGAAGCGTGTAGACCGCAGCACTGAGAGCAGCGTGCCATCTGTCCGCAGGTGGTCAGGATGGGCCCCATGGGCAGACAGGGCCCGTCCTCCCTGCCGGTCCCCACGGGAGGCTCTTGCCTCCTGCTTCTCTTCTGCCTGCGGTTGGGCGCCTCTTGCCCGCAGAGCTGCCAGTGCCCTGACCATGCCGGGGCCGTGGCCGTCCATTGCAGTGGGAGGGGCCTGCAGGAGATCCCCAAGGACATCCCCACTGACGCTGTGCTCCTGAAGCTTGATGCCAACAAGATCGCCCGCATCCCCAACGGAGCCTTCCAGCACCTGAACCAGCTGAAAGAGCTGGACTTGTCTCAGAACGCCATCGAGACCATCGGCCCCGCCGCCTTCTCGGGCCTGGCCGGGGGCCTGCGGCTGCTGGACCTGTCTCACAATCACATCCGCAGGATTCCTAAGGACGCGCTGGGCAAGCTCAGCGCCAAGATACGCCTGTCCCACAACCCCCTGCACTGCGAGTGCGCCCTGCAGGAGGCCCTGTGGGAGCTGAAGCTGGACCCTGACTCGGTGGACGAGATCGCCTGCCACACCGCGGTGCAGGAGGAGTACGTGGGGAAGCCGCTCATCCAGGCCCTCGACTCTGGCGTCAGCTTCTGCAGCGTCCACCACAAGACCACCGATGTGGCCATGCTGCTCACCATGTTCGGCTGGTTCGCCATGGTGATCACCTACGTCGTGTACTACGTGCGCCAGAACCAGGAGGACGCCAGGAGGCATCTGGAGTACCTGAAGTCCCTGCCCAGCACTCCTGTGTCCAAGGACCCCATCAGCCCTGCGCCCTAGCGCCCGATGGCTCGAGCAGGCCGAGGCCCACCTGTCTCCCGTCACTCTTGTAGTAGATGGTGACTGAGTCCCGCCTTCGATGTTCCCCCGGGGAGGGTGACACGGCTGCTTCTGTCCAGTGTTTCACTCTGACAGAGCACTTTCCACAGGACACCTTCAGGTCAGGCAGTTCTGCCATCAGACCCAATGACAGATGGGGACATGGGCTCAGAGAAATGGAAGTGATCCAGCTGGGATGTAAAACCGGGCCGTCCATCCTGAGACGTCCCTTCCGCGCTGGGAGCCTGCCCCGCGGGGCGCCCGCCTCTGAGCCCCCAGCATTCAGAGGAGAAAGGGTGCGTGCCCATGAGTGAGGCTCCCCGAGGAGGTTGGGTGCATTTTGTTGGTTGTAGGCACAGGTCGTCCTGCCCCGTGGAACTGGTTTGCCTTTGCTTCCCCAGTATTTCCTGAACACCTCTAACCACCGGGCTCTTTCCATAGCCAAGTGGTAGAGACCGGATTTTTCTCGGGAGATAAGTGGAACATGTAACCTTTGAACAACTCTGTCAACTTTGTTTATTCTCAGAATGTTTGTTAAGAGTAACACTTGTACCAAAATTTCAGTCCAGTGAGAAGGGGAAAAAAAAAAAATAACAACCCAAAACCAAAAAAATTAAACCATGGAGAGAAACCTGAGGATGGTCCATAGTAGCTCCTCAGGGGGCCGTGTTAGCAGCCTGAGAAGTGTGGCCGGTCCCCGATTCCTGCTCCTGCGGCTGTGGCCCGCCCCAGGGAGCCTGTCATCTTGGGTCGCTCCATGCCTTGCTTTTCTACTCACTAAGCAGCTCCTTTGCAATGGATGGGAGGACCGACCTCTGTTTCAGGGCTGTTGGACAGGTTGCTTCGTTTCCTCCAGTGACGGGGACTCTGTCTCCTTTTCAGCTTTGCTGACAGGACTCTCAGTGCTACGTTACTGCTCAGTTTTCTTACCTAATTCATGTTCAGGGTAGACTTTACCTCCACCTGTGTAACCCTGATCTGTCTTTCCAGTTTTATTTTTCATGGTCTTTTTGTATGAGTGTTTATATTTTAAACTACTTCAAATATTTTGGGGGGAAGCAAGTCAGGGGTACATTGCTCATGGATCTAAGGTATAAAGGACAGATGCTTAGAAAGGGTAAAGGTCGAGGGAGGTTTGTACTCGGAAAGTGTCACGGGACTGGCAGTGGGAAACACATTTACGCGTTGACGCAGCGCGTCACGATTTTTCAGTTGTGGTGCGTTAAAAAACAACCAGCAGATGCCGCTGCCCCCCCACACCCCAGGGCCGCGCCTGCGCGCACAGTGTGAGCCGGGGGCACAGCGCCGCCCGCGGTCACCGGGGGCACAGCGCGCACAGTGTGAACCGGGGGCACAGCGCGCACAGTGTGAACCGGGGGCTCTGTGCTCTGAGTGTGGGGTGGGCCCTTTTCTGCCCACCGCCCAGACCAGGGTGCAGGAGTGGGGGGCAGGGCTCAGATGAGGCTGCGAATGGTGCCGGGGTCCTCAGGTAACCAACGGCCCACCCACCCTTCCAGTGGGAACTAAAAACGCCGAGCAGCCGGCCTGGGTGCCGGTCCACTCGTGGGACAAACGCCACGGGAGCAGGTACGTGTGGCCGCCGGCTGACCAGCGGGACACGGGCTCTGTGGGTGAATGGGGTCCCCCTTCCCCATGCATCCCGGGGAGCACACAGTGGGGAGAGGGGTCAAGCCGCACAAGGAGCCGTCACCTGGCGGGTTTGCCCGATGGACGTGACCCTGAGTCCCTGGGTCAGGGGAAGAGAGCAGACTGAGGCCTGGATAGGGGGGGGGGGCAGATGTCAGGGTCTTGCCGTTGCGGCTCGTGTCCCATAGGTGCCAGCCAGCCTGGGCACTTTGGGGGGCCCTTTCCTTGCTGCCAGGGAACTCTTCATTTGCTCTTACACAGAACCAGCCCAGAGCCTGATGCCAGCCAGATGCTCTTCTGGGGGCGCACGGGGAGAGAGTGGGGCTTCTTTCCCCCCAGTCTTTGCTGGTACCCAGCGCCCAGCCAGCCTTCCCCCTGGTGTGGGCCTGCCGGGCTCCTGTTCTGCCCTGCTGGGAAGAGGAAGTGGGCCCAGGAGCCCAGAGCACACCCGAGGGCCCAACCCCTCTCATCCCGGGTCCAGAGTCAGGGCGCTGCCGGGCCCCCTGGCCTTTCTGGCCTCCTTGCCCCTCGTGGGGTCTCCCCGGAGAGCATACCTCTCTCCCAAGCCCAGCAGGACCCGGAAGCTCCTTCCTGCTCATGGCAGCTCCCGGCCCTGGTGTCTGGGAGCCCAGCCCTCCCCTTGCCCTTTTCCCCCTCCTCCTTTCCTCTGTCTTCCTCTCCCTTCCCCTAAGGGACTGCTGAAGGCAACGCCCTGCCTGGGCCCACCCGGTTCCTTGCTGCCCTGTGGGAGTGCAGACGCCCATCCCCAGACCCGTGGGCCCTGGGGCTGACCCTCCACCTCCAGCCCAGCACCGATGGGCCGGCATGAACCGGCATCTGCTGTCTTCTAGTTATGTGGAGGCCGGGGTCAAGCCGGGCCCATAGAGGGGACCCTTGTTGACAGTGGTGGGGACACAGCAAGGGGGTGCCTCAGTCGGGGGACATGGGTGGCCCCTGGCTGTCATCGCAGTCTAGGTGAGAGGCCTCAAAGAGCTTCGTGCGCACAGCCCCGCTTCTGCAAAGCCCCTCCTGCCTGCGGAGGTAGCACTTCACAGGGTCTGGGGGTCAGGGTGGGATGACTTTGGGGCTGCTTATGGGGCAGAGGGGCGGAGTGAGTGGACCGTCCTGACAGCCACCCAGCTGGGCCTCTCATCCTTCCCATGGGGGCCAGAGGGGAGGGGAGGGACAGTGAGGGGCTCTTGGGCCACTTGGGAGCCCGGTCCCCCTGCCCAGCCGCTCTGGGCCGGCGTGAGACTGCTTGCTCTCTTGGTCCCTGGCCTCACCATGGACAGTCCCCTTGGAAACCAGAGCCCCACCCCCGATCCTGACCCTAGGAGGGGACATCCTACATTCACGGCCTCCTGACACCCCACCTCCCTTCCTCTTTGGACTTTGGGGCCCCCAGACACCCACAGTTGCTCCCTTGGGTGGTCCAGCATTGGGGGATGAGCAGGCATACTGCTGAGCCCCCAGCAGAGCCATCCTGACACACACAGGCTGTCCCTGGTGGGCTGGGCTCCCAGCTCTGCTCCAGAAGCACCCCAGGCCCCTCCTCGAGGTCGGCTGCAAGGCCGTAGGAGGGCCTCGAGGCTGGGGCTGGGAGGATGCCTGAAATGGTTCCTCTCCGGGAAGGGCCCCGGTGCGGGAACCAGGGGCTGCCCCCCACCTCGGGGACCCAGTCCCTCAGTCCCCCTGCAGGGAGAGTGGACGACAGTTTTAAATTAGACGCGGGACTGGCGTTAAACCTGGTTGTGTTTTTCTTAGAGGAAAGTTGCTCCAGGGAGGAGGTGGGGCGGAGGGGCGGGGATAAAGGCGGGAGGTGGGGCGGAGGGGCGGGGATAAAGGCGGGGGCTGGACAGCCCTGTGCCGGGTGCTTCCCAGCCTCCCTTGCAGCCCGCTGTCCAAGATGCGTTTGCCCGAGACTTGGGTCCTGGACTAAGTTCCCTGGGGAGGAGGCACTGCAGCCTGTGGAGGAGATGGAATGTTCTGGACTCGTGGCAGCCCCCCACCCCCACCCCATGGCAGGAGCCTGGGGCGGTTTCTGGAGTCGCCTTTCCTGGAGGCTTGGCCCCAAACCCCATTCTACTGTCCTCCCCACCTACCGACTGCGAATCCTCAATAAACGTTTGTGCTTAAGTCCACTGCGGAGGGGCTCTGTTATCTGTGGCTCTGCGACCCGACCCGGGCCGGACCTGCCCTCGCTGCCTACCCTGCCGTGTTGTGGAGCCGCCAGCACTGCAAACCCACAGCTAGAAGAGCCGGGCCAGGGCTGGGGTGCAGGGGGTGCTGGGCCTGCCTGGAGTGGCTCCAACAGGCTCGTGATGGCCGATTGTCAGGTTTTGAGGAATTTTGTGAGTCAGTCGACACCGTGATGACAGCTTGAGGTTGTCCATGGGAGAGTCTTTACTTCAAGGCCATTGACAGCAGCTACAATCGAGACGCCCTCTCCTGCCCCGAGAAGGCTGTTGGCCGTTTGGAGGTTGTTAGCACTGCTGCTGGGGTCCCTCAGGGGCACCGCCTGGCACCCGGTGAGCCAGTTCTGCTTTCACATCACCTCGCCCTTCAGGTCAGTTCTGGGGGCAGAGCAGTGGCCCCCCAGGATGTCCAGGTGCTAATCCCGGGAGCCTGTGAAGATTGGAAATGGGCCACCAGCCAAGGAACGCAGGAAGGAACGCAGGAAGGAGCGCGGGAAGGAACGCGGGAAGGAGCGCGGGAAGGGACGCGGGAAGGGACGCGGGAAGGAACGCGGGAAGGAACGCGGGAAGGAACGCGGGAAGCCCCTAGAAGCTGGAAGAGGCAGGGAATGGATTCTCTTTCGGAGCCTCTGGAAGGAAACAGCCCTGCACACCTTGGTTTTAGCCCAGTGAGACCCGTTTTGGACTCCTGACCTCTAGCATTTTAAGAAAATAAATTAGGGGCTTCCCTGGTGGCGCAGTGGTTGAGAGTCCGCCTGCCAATGCAGGGGACGTGGGTTCGTGCCCCGGTCCGGGAGGATCCCACATGCCGCGGAGCGGCTGGGCCCGTGAGCCATGGCCGCTGAGCCTGCGCGTCCAGAGCCTGTGCTCCGCAACGGGAGAGGCCACAGCAGTGAGAGGCCCGCGTACCACAAAAAAAATAAAAAATAAAAATAAATAAATAAATAAATTGGTATTGTTTAGGCCACTAAGTGTGTGGTCCTTTGGTACAGCAGCTTCAGGGGACTAATAGTCTCCCCACTGTGAGAGCGGCTGCTGTGCTAGGAGCAGGTGGCCATCTGAGCTCCACGGCTGCCCTGCTCGTTCTCACTGAGTCCCAGTTCTGGGGTCAGTACGTGTTTAATGCCTTGGCTGAATGACCAAGAGTGACCCCAGGAGCTCACTTCACCTGTTGGCCTTACTCCCTTCCCTGCAAGATGGGAGCTACCCTCCCAGACAAAGGGCCATAGTGCGGGGGCCACAGCAGGGCGGGAACTCCGAGCCCGCCGGCTTCCACGGTCCCCACACACACGCATACTACACACCTACAGTGGGCACACACGTGCACCACACACTCATACACATGTACGCACGTGCTCACCCAGACACACACCCACGCTCACCACACATGCACGCACACCCACCAGGCAAGCCCACAGGTGCACGCCTTCACGCTCACACAGGGCCATACACTGGACACTTGCCCCTGCCAGCAGACGTGCCCACAAAGTGTGTACGCACACACACGCACACATGCGCTCATTTCTCCTTTGCCCAGGGGACATCTGGGGGTCCCGCTCAGCCTCGCCCCCCACAGGCTAGGGTGAGAGGAGAGGCCTTGCCGATCCCTAACCGGGGGCCCTGAGGGCAGGTGTTGGGGGACCCCCGAGTGCCAGGCTGGGCGCAGCATCTTGAGGAGGCCACGTGTCAGGAGGGACAGCTCTTCAGGGACAGCAGCTTGGACCCGGCCTGGAGGAAGGGCCTCTGGGTGGGTGCCCGGGCCCGGAGTTGGTGAGAGTGGGCCGGGGGGCGGGCTGCACACGGGGGACCCCACGGAGGCCGTGCCGACTGATGGGGATGAGGTCGGTCTCAGCGGCGGCCAAGCTGCACGGTCTTGTAGGAAGCGGGCGTGGAAATGAGCGCTCAGGCCCCTGGTGGGCCCAGGGCAGGCTGCCCGCTGGGAAAGAGCAGTGGCCACGAGGGCACGTGGACGGCACGTGACGCCGGGCAGGGCACCTCAGCGGGCTCTCACGGGGGCCTGGCTCGGTCGGGAATGTTTTTATTTTCAGACAAGAAACCCAAGATTCCGAGGTCCAGGGGGAGAAATGGCGGATTCAGGAGTTGGCTTGTTGCGGGCAGAGTGGGGCTGGAATCCGGGCCTTCTGACACCCAGGCCTGGAAGTCCT